GCCGGCCTGGAGCCCGCGGGCTGGCGGGGAAGGGGCGGGACGAGGAGGGACGAGCTCGCCCCGACGGCGGGGACAGGTCCTGGGAAGAGGGGACTGGGCCGGAGGGTTATGGCAATGGGCTCCCCCGCGGGCAGCGCCCACGTAGGTCTCGGCTGATCCCAGGGAGGAGGGGGCTGGGGACCTGGCTCTCCGGAAGCTCTTTATACTTAAATTTATAAACAAATCATTAGCTTAAGTCATTCCTTTTTTTTTTTTTTGGTAAAACTTCAGAAACGGACTTCCTGACTTCAAACTGTAGCCATTGAGCACATGTAGAATCTCTTATATTTGCGCTCAATGTGAAATGGATTATTATCTTTTCCTAAGCACGTTTTGTTTTCAGAGTAATCTAGCTAAAAACTAAAGCTCCAGCCAGCCGTATGCTTCCTCTCCCTACAAAAGCCTTGAGCGAGTCCTTTCTCTCTACCCATAGCTTTGAGAGCAGGACTGAAAAATAGACAGGCTTATGATTATGCTTCTAAGGACAAGCTCATTGTCCTCTAAAGATAAGCGCCCTTTTAGTTGCAATTTTGGTTGCAGTATATCGTTTATTTTGTAATAAGCCATAAAGTGGTTTTTGCAGTAATACATTTATATTACTCTACTGATGCACTGACCCAAGGGGTAGTTTTAAACATTTTTATTCCTATGTGTACTTGGACGTAAATGTGGGTATATATTTATGTTCAAACATCTACATAGAGCCATGCTTTTGTTCTGTATGTTTTTTATTTAAGCAAGTCACGATACCTTTTTATGCGATTTAAAGAATGGCCCTGCAAAGATACTGCTGTCAGGGGAGAACACGGGTCCCTGTTGCCAATTTGCCTTTGGCAATATGGACAAGTGTTTATCAATTAGGTAAGCCCTTTTTTTAAAGCATATAATTAATCTTCAGGGTTGCACAGATATTCCCTTTCAGGAATTCCTAACTAATGCAAGGTAAGTTCTTAGAATTCTAAACGTGTGCGACGGTGAGGCTCGGGCAGGCTAAATAGCCACAGCAGGCAGTGAATAAAGATAAACTGAATTTATTTAAGGAAAGGGGCCTGGGGGATGGGGATAGCCAAAGGGTAGGGCTACAAGCACTGAGCCCCAGAGTATTGGGTCCATGATGGCAGCAAAAACGTACTTAGGACAGTGCAACAAGGAAGGGCATAGAAGAAGCAACAGGAAAGGGCTGCTTTGGCTCACTGGGAAGTCAGAGAACAGGGGGCCATGGAGGCAGGTTCAGGGGGGTTAGCCCAGGACGAGCTGCCGCTGCTCATCGCTCCCCTGGTTGCAAGTCTCATGGGGTCCCTTAGAGGGTGGGGGATATGTGCCTGTGGGGCAAGGAGAGGGGGAAGGGAATGGCATGGACGTGCTCCGTGGAGGGTTCCTGGTGTGCTCTTTCAGGGTCTTCATCTCCACTGTAGCTGGTCCTGAAGCAGCCTCCGTGTCACTTACCTGGTTTTGCTGCTTTTCTGCGCCTGGAGCTGAAATGCAATGGAGGCCTAGATGTTATCTTTAGGGAGGAAAAAGTCAGGGGGTCTAAACCGCATGACCAGTGATATGCTAGGGGAGGATAGGTTACCCTGGAGACGAGGTTCTTGTTTTCCCAGTTTTGCCCCTTGCTAGGCATCCAGGGCTTTCTGCCCTGGTGAGTTTCTCTTCCTGGCCCATTATCCTTGCTCTGCTCATGTCTGTCTAACAGTGGACTGCAGTTAACATATAATGGGATATCTGTGTGATAAATGTGCCTCCCTATTACATCCTTTTCCTTTAAAACATGCATTAAGTCTGATAATTATTAACTTCCTGGTACATATGTAAGCTTTACAAGGAAAGGGAATTTTGTGAGTAGTTTTTAAAGCTTTTCTCCCTTTACTCACTGTGTACATCTCTATTGCTCATATTGTTTCAGAAAAAAATATTTGTGTTATCTGGATAGCTGGCTTACCCTTAGTAATGGACCCAAAAGCTTTTCAAGAACTGAAGAAAGCTGGTGGAGCAGAATCAGTACTTGAGGACTGTGCCGAGCCAGCTCAGCCAGGTTTGGTGAGTCTGAGAGGGGGTGGTGAAGGATTGAGAAAAGACAGACGGAAGAAGAAAGCTGGGTCTGGGTGGACATTGTCCTCTCTGATGGAACGCTAACAACAGTGCCACACCCTGAAAGCTGTGTCTTCATTTTATAGCCAGATTCCAGGAGGCAAAGTAAGGGCGTGGTCAAGATGTTTACAACATTCTCGTGCTTTTCAAATCTACTCAGTTACATGCACCTGAACTCTATCAAGCCCACATCACTCATCTACCTGGGACCACAGGTTCAGACCGTAGGTCAAGCTTACCACCGTAGCCTTTGGCTATAATTGTGCTGGGAGAGCTTTGCCCTCCAAGCTGGGACTTGCACGTGGCTTTGCCATGAGAGGACCATGCCCTCTCATTAGTCCAAAGCTTGAACCTGTCCAAACACTATAGTCACTCTCCACAGAGGACAGTGTTTTATTGGGAAGTAACTGGAGTTTTTAGTAAACATGAAACCAGTGGGATCAATTTTCTTAAAAGGAAGATGGTCTAAGATGCATATTCACAACAGGCACTCTTCTAAGCAGTGATAGTTTCACTTAAGTTTAATTTGCAGGTAAGTATGTTTCCAGAAGGAGGATGTCATTTAGAGTGAGAGTTTTAAAAAATATATTGAATGCTGACTGTGCGAGCCATGTCCCAAGTGGTTCAGGGTTCGGGATCTGGAGAAGGGCTGCACACAAATGACAGAGACAAGACAAGACATAATAATTTGGAAATATGGGGGCTAGGCAGGAAGCCCAACACAAGGGGAAGGACTTCCACTGGTGCCCAGGCCTTGCCAACCTTTTATTCAATTTTGGATGCACATATAGCCCTTAGGCAGGCAATTCCAGTAACAGACAAAGTATCTTAAAGGTCAATAAGTATTCGTAAAGATTTACTCTGCGACTAAATAATTGGTGCATAGCTCTGGCCCTTGCCAGGGCTCAAGGTTCTCCAGCGTTGCGGGCTCCTTGTTTACACTTCTCTGATAGTGAAGACAATGGGTAGCTTCCAACAGCTGACTAAGTGACCAAATGGACTGTCTTGAAGACTGAGGAAGCATTTGTGAGGTAGTCCAGGAAGGTCAAAGGGTCACAGAAGTCAACCTAAAAGAGCTCCCACTGTCCAAAGCAATGTGGACAACGCAATAATGTACTGTTGGATTATAATTCAATAAAATAGATATCCTTAAGTCTATACTGATATAAATGATTGAATCGATAAAGAAATGAGAGCGAAAAGACAACTCTTCCTCACAAAAGAATTCCAAACTCTTCATGTAGACACTCCCCACTCCAGGAAGTGGCGAGAATCCTACCCCTCCTTGCCCTCTGGAGTGTGGGTTACACATAATGACTTGCTCCCAAAGAGTAGAGCATGGGAAGGGGGAAAAAGTAGTTTTATAGCAGAGAAACCTGTGAAACACTGCCTTGGCCAGATAATTGTGCACATCATCAGTGATCAGTCACGTTAATAGTGTGCACCGCTGACATGAAGTGGTGAGAAGGTCACTTCACCTCTTGCTCTTCTTTCCTAAAGAATGTTACATATCTAGGATCAGACATTTTGAAATCCTCTAGTTCAAACTACTGATAATCCAAACTACAGGTGAGAAAATTGCCTCTTAAAAATATTAAGTGACGCCAAAACCGGTTTGGCTCAGTGGATAGAGCATTGGCCTGCGGACTGAAGGGTCCCAGGTTCGATTCCGGTCAAGGGCATGTACCTGGGTTGCGGGCACATCCCCAGTAGGAGATGTGCAGGAGGCAGCTGATCGATGTTTCTCTCTCATTCAGTGATCAGTCACGTTAATAGTGTGCACCGCTGACATGAAGTGGTGAGAAGGTCACTTCACCTCTTGCTCTTCTTTCCTAAAGAATGTTGCATATCTAGGATCAGACATTTTGAAATCCTCTAGTTCAAACTACTGATAATCCAAACTACAGGTGAGGAAATTGCCTCTTAAAAGTATTAAGTGACTATTCCAAAATCACAGATACTTAATTGCTTTTCCCTGCCTAATATACTGAATTATCTCCCTTTCCTGCACTTCCTTCTCATTTTTAAAAAAATATATTTTATTGATTTTTTTTACAGAGAGGAAGGGAGAGGGATAGAGAGCCAAACCAGTTAGGGCCACTTCCTTCTCATTAATGAAGCAATTTATTATCCAAAATAGTGTCATAAAATTGTAGAAATGGAACTTTCCAATCACACTAAAGCAGTAGTTCTCAACTTTGGCTGCACATTAGAATCACCTGGGAATCTTTTTGAAATCCTGATTTCTGGGCCTCATCCTCCGGAAAGTCTATTTCTTTGTTATGGGGTGGGGCCACAACATTAGTAACAAAGAAAGAATTTCCCCGGAGGATGAGGCCCAGAAATCAGGATTTTAAAAAGATTCCCAGGTGATTCTAATGTGCAGCCAAGGTTGAGAACCACTGCACTAAAGGGTTGCTGAGTGCTCTTCACCACCAATCAGGAACCTCCACTGGAAGCTTGCTCCTGATTGGTGAAGGCCAGCTGTAACTATAGAATGCGGAGGAGTAAACAAAAAGCATAGCAACAACCGAGTTTGCGGTCTCACTATCCTCAGCCTAGGCCAACCTGGACTCCTTCATCCCAGATGAGGTGGCCCCTACATTTTTTATGAAGGCTCTGATTTTCCATTGAACCGCGATCTGTCTTACAGCATGGCAATCCAATGCAGACAGGAAGATGAAACTGAGCAACACAGCTAAAATAAAGCGTATTCCCAGGTAGAACAGACAAATGCTTTGGTGTGAAATGGGTTATTAGCCTGATGAGATTCAGATACAGGGCAATAGGAAGGTACTAGAGCACAAGAACTATATCTGTGGGCAGTGTCACCAAGTCCTACTAGTGGCAGCAGCTGTGGCGGGGGAGGTGACCCGTTGCAGCAGGTAAACTCAGAGAATGTGCAGAGAGCTCTCATCATCGATCCCATGCTGTGGAGACAGGCATGGAGGATGACTGTGCTTCTTCTCATAGCTACACAGGGCCCTGGTTTCCTAAGAAGGAATATTCACCACCAGGGCTGGTAGTTTGGTGCCCTACCCCGAGAAAGGTGGGGAGGTTGCTTTTCATGAGTGCCAAGTGGGGATGGGAGTGTCTTTTCAAGTTTTTCTGGAGGAAGATATTTCTGTCTTATTTTTTATGTTCCTTTACAGAATACACGTGGAAACAGGATGCAGTTGACCAGTGAAAAGTTGCCCGAGGACCCCCTCTATACCTCTCTATCCCAGGATGCTGCCAGGAACTACAGCTTCTTCCAATGCACAAAGGACAAGACTGGTACAAATTCTGATAATATTTTCACTAAAAGCTAATCGGTACACCAGAGAAAAAAGAGACAAGAAATAGGAGTCTTACTGCTGTCAAGGCGGGGGTTAACTTTACAGTCCTTTCGAGCTTTCCCGTAGGAATATGCGAAATTGCGGCGGTTTCACGCATCTGGTTAGCAAATCATCAGCAGGGAAGTTTCACGGAGCCCGAGCCTGAGTTTACATTCAGGGGTTTAGGACCCTCTTCTGGAAAAGGGAAGCCAGATGGCTTGTCTGTTAAGGAGGACAATGCCATACTTTACTTGAAATTGGCCTTTAAAGCTACCATTTTTTTCTATGGTCTTTTAAAAAATTAAATTGGGGATGGTTAGCTCATTTGGTTAGAATAGCTCTAATGAAGCCTCAGATGAAGAATTTCACTCGCCCATGGATGACTTTGCCCAAAGAATTGCACACAGACTGCTTGCTAGAGCTCCTCCTAGTGGTAAACTGGGTTACTCTGAAAACCAACCAACAGGTACTTCTTGATTGTATGAGGCCTGGTGTTAGGGCCCATGATAATACTTTCTCCTTTAGCCAAGGAGGAATGAGGACTAGGAAGGAAACTAGTGTAAAGTGTCAGATGAATTCTGTATAATTGGTGACTTGAAGAGAGAAAATTCATATTGTGTTAAAGTTATAATTCTTTACCTTTCTTAAATCAGACCGTTACAGCCATGCTAGTTTGGTGGATCAGGCATTGCAGCTCTTGAAGGAAAGAATAGTAAGAGGGGATGCTATGGCCTATTTCCTGCGAGGTCAACTATATTTCGAAGAGGTATCAGTCTTTGTTTATTTGCTTTTATTTCATTTAATGTTGCTGTTAGATCCTCATAGCAAAATATCTCCTACAGTTCCTTCCTTTGTAATATCAGGGAAATTCTGTCAAATTCCACAGATTACAGTTGTGGCTTCAAGTGTGATATGCTGGTATCAGTTTAAGGAGCTATCTGGGCTTTCTCCATAAAGACATTCTAATGAAAGTCATTTATAGGAGACATCCTATATAATAAAAGGGTAATATGCAAATCAACCGAACAGCGGAACTACCGGTCGCTATGACACGCACTGACCACCAGGGGGCAGATGCTCAATGCAGGAGCTTCCCCCAGCCCGCAGGCTCTGATCAACCGATCGGGGCCTGCCAGCCAACCTCTTGGTCCCTTCCCTGGGCCAGCAGGCTCCGATTGGCAAACGGGAAACCAGGGGTGGATGGCGGCAGGGGGTGGGGCTGGCTGCCAGCAGCCAGGGAAGATGGCCCTGATCGCAGGCTAGGCCTAGGGACCGTACCCATGCACGAATTTCATGTGCCAGGCCTCTAGTTTTGGTATAAAATTAAAAATCTAATATTTATATTTTTGCCCAAAATATCTAATATCATCTAAAATATTTTCACTCCAATGTCAGTAATACAGCTTTAGTTCTTCACTGAACCTGAGGGAAGGTGTGAAAGGGAACAGCTGTCTCTAATCCCTCACCATCCATTGAATATTTGGGCAGCTATTCACCTATACCCCACTTACTCTCTAATCTTTTGATGGCTCCTTCATTCATTCTGGCAACAAGTATTTGTTGAGGACCAGTCGTGCCCCTGTAACTGAGAATAGCACAACATAACGGTTAAGTGAAGGATCTCTTAGCTTTGCACATAGGTTTGAATATGGCTCTATTGCTTTTTTTAAAAAAATTTGTTTTATTGCTTAAGGTATTACAAAGAGTACAACATATGTCTCCTTTTTTTTTTTTTTCTCCCCCTCCTTGACCTTCCCCTGGCTTCCCCTACCCCCCAGTGTCTTGTGTCCATTGGTTATGCTTATATGCATGCATACAAGTCCTTCGGTTGATCTCTTAAACCCGGCTCTATTGCTTTTTAATTGCTTATCCTTGGGCACAAATCCTTAACCTCTTGGTGCCTCAGTTTTCTCATCTGTAAAAGGGGGGTAATAATGTGTGTTTCATAGAACTGTTGTGAGGATGTATTAATTGTAAAACAGGGCCTGGCACCTAATAAGTGCTTCATAAGGCTTCGCTATTATGTGCTATAAAATGAAGAGGGAATCAGAATGGTCCCCATTTCACAAAGGTTACAGTCCAGAAGGGGAAGAAAATGAATATATGTATAATTAAAAATAAGGAAAAGTACTATGAAAGGAATTAACTGCATACAACAATAGAGAATAACTTAGGCACAGGGTGGAAAGACCTGTTGTTGAAACTAACATTTGCAGAAAAGGAAACACAATGCAAACAGCCAGTGGACGCGTGTTCCAGAGAGAGAACAAATAACACATTTCATCGATGAGGAAGTTTTGAGATCTAAAGGAGACCAATGTGGAATAAGCAAGGCAGAGACGGCTCTAGATGAGCTTTGCTTAAAATGTAGTAAGAAGCCATTGGAGGGTCTTCAGTCTGTGGTAAACGGATTAGAAGGCAGGCATAGAACTAGTTCAGGGTGAAATTACACTAGTTCAGGCAAGAGAGGTTGGTAATCTTGACCAGAGTTGTAGCAGTGGAGCTGGGTCCTGAATTTATTCTGGAGACACAGACAGTGGTATTAATGGACTGAAAAACAGAGACTGGAGAAGAGTGAGTATTGAGGTGATGACCAAGAGTTCAGTTTTTGGACATGTTATGTTTAAAATGCCCAGTAGTCATCCAAGTAGACAGATTTCAAAGTAGAAACTTACATGTTCTCGAAGGAGAAGTTTGGGTTGAAAGTGTTTATTTGAGATCTTCCAGCTATATATGGTATTTAAAATAATGGAAACAGAAAGAACTTTCTTACTTTCCTTTGCATAGTCTAGCTTTTCCAGCCCTCTCACATCTAAGCCCAACATTAGCCAGAAAGGAAAATTAGTCTTAACAGCTCAGTCATTTACTCATTGATATGTGCTCTTTAAAATAAATAAATTTGTTAGGATTTTGGGGTAGTTTTTGTTAATTTTTATCAATTGGTTGATAAATGACAAGTACTGTGAAAGGAATTAACTGCATACAACAATAGAGAATAACTTAGGCATAGGGTGGAAAGACCTGTTGTTGAAACTAACATTTGCAGAAAAGGAAACACAATGCAAAAAGCCAGTGGAAGTGTGTTCCAGAGAGAGAACAAACAACACATTTCATTGATGAGGAAGTTTTGAGATCTAAAGGAGACCGATGTGGAATAAGCAAGGCAGAGATGGCTCTAGATGAGCTTTGCTTAAAATGTAGTAAGAAGCCATTGGAGGGTCTTCAGTCTGTGGTAAACGGATTAGAAGGCAGGCATAGAACTAGTTCAGGGTGAAATTACACTAGTTCAGGCAAGAGAGGTTGGTAATCTTGACCAGAGTTGTAGCAGTGGAGCTGGGTCCTGAATTTATTCTGGAGACACAGACAGTGGTATTAATGGACTGAAAAACAGAGACTGGAGAAGAGTGAGTATTGAGGTGATGACCAAGAGTTCAGTTTTTGGACATGTTATGTTTAAAATGCCCAGTAGTCATCCAAGTAGACAGATTTCAAAGTAGAAACTTACATGTTCTCGAAGGAGAAGTTTGGGTTGAAAGTGTTTATTTGAGATCTTCCAGCTATATATGGTATTTAAAATAATGGAAACCGAAAGAACTTTCTTACTTTCCTTTGCATAGTCTAACTTTTCCAGCCCTCTCACATCTAAGCCCAACATTAGCCAGAAAGGAAAATTAGTCTTAACAGCTCAGTCATTTACTCATTGATATGTGCTCTTTAAAATAAATAAATTTGTTAGGATTTTGGGGTAGTTTTTGTTAATTTTTATCAATTGGTTGATTAATGACAGTTTATGAAAAGAGAAATTTAATTATTTTTGTGTTTTCCAAAAGCTGTTTTTCTCTGGCCTGCTCTTCTTAATAATGACCTTCCAATTCAGTAAAAGGCTCTCTTTCTACCACTACAAATAATTAATTCTTTAGTATGAGGCGTTTTCATGGTGGATTAAAATATAAAATCCCATATTAGTCCCTCACACCATAGCATGTTTGTTACCGGATTTGTCTAACTGCCAAGGAGCCTTAAAGTGATGATACAGAACATGTGGGTTTTTATAGGAAGTATGGGAGGCAGTTAATTTTCGAGAATCACACGCTTGTTTTTCCATGTCTTCTCAGCTGGAAAACCGCAAAACTGAAGGACATGAGCCATAATAATAGTGGATGTTTAATAACAGCCAATGTCCTTCATAAGGATATTCACTACTATTAAAAAAATAGATGAAGCCAAGGTAGCAAAATGTTATTACTAAGAATTTATGTGGCAGTTATGCAAATTTTTATTGTATATTCTCAAGTGATAGCCTGTACAGTCCCTTCTTGACCTACCCGCAGGGTACGTCAGCATAATGTGGACAGAGGGCAGTTCCCTCCTTACTCTGTGTAGAGCAGCGGCCGCCAACCTTTCGGACCTCACGGACCACCGGTTGGCGACCTCTGGTGTAGAGGAACATATAAACTACCCTTAAGTACAAGGTAAGAATCAGGGTCGTCAGTTACTATGAACATGAAAATGTTTTATAGATGATATTAAATATTTGGGGCAAAAATAGAAACAGATTTTTAATTTATAGTGTAAGAATGGATTTTATACTACAACTAGAGGCCCAGTGCACGAAATTCGTGCAGGGGGGGTGGGTCCCTCAGCCCGACCTGCACCCTCTCCAATCTGGGAACCCTCAGGGGATGTCCTACTGACAGCTTAGGCCCGCTCCCCGTGGTTCTCTGCTCTCTGCGGACCTGCCTGCCTGTCTGCTCTCTGGCTCGCCTCTGTGGCCAGGGGCAAGTAGGGCCCTGGTGTCTGCTCTCGGTGAGGGGCAAGCAGGGCTGACAGGACCGGACATGCCAGCGGTAAGGCTGAGGGGACTGGGTGCCGCCATCTTGTGGCTATGTGCGCCACCATCTTTGTGGCGGAGTGACAGTTAATTTGCATATTACCCTTTTATTAGATAGGATGTCTCAAATCTTCTCCAAGGCTTTGGTCCCAGCTCTGATATTTCTCAGACTTCAGGAGTGGCGGGGGAGGTGGCAGGCTAGATCGAGCAGTTGGCTAAGCTGTCATTTCAAGAGAGGATTGGCAATAGGCAAGAGTAAGAGTGAAAGCCAAAGAGAATCTTACCTAAATTCCTACTGGTCACTTCCCTCAGTTGCCATGTTTAGGTCTATTTAATTGACTTTATAGTGTGTTGACTGTTGTCAGTGACTTAACTTGCAAAGTCCATAAATTTGTGGCTGTCTTTTCTTGGTTTATTTGGTGCTACTGGCTAGATTTGGGTGGGAATTAAATAACTGGGATTACTTTAAGATAATAATAATTCAGTATTTCCTGTGAGCTTGCAGGGATGGTATGAAGAAGCATTAGAACAGTTTGAAGAAATCAAGGACCATGATCATCAAGCAATTTACCAGCTGGGCGTAATGTATTATGATGGGCTGGGGACAGCTGTAAAAGCTGTAAGTTATTGATTTGTTCGCAGTGTTTAAGATTTCATTGTTAATGGATTATCTGATACAATTGAAATTATTCACATTTTAATCATACATTTCTATCCTTTTAGTTCAGTAATCTCTAACCTTTTAGCATTCAAAGGATAGCACTAGTCATTTTTCATTTGTGTGAAAAACAAAATTTCTTTTTTGCTCCTCCTTCTTGCTACCATTAGATGCCAATAATTTTCTCTTTTAATATGCTTTCCTGTATTTTCAAAGCTACATAAACATGGAGAAAAAAAAGCTAGAAAATAAGCAAAAAATAGGATCATTACAAATTCTGCCATCAAATACAAACATTGTTATTATTTTAAATTATGTGCTATCATGAAGTGCCCCATGCAATAAATTTGTATAAAAAAATTTTATATAACATTATTTAGAAGTGACACATCTGGTATTTGTACAGAAGAACTTCTCTTGTAAAGCATACTGAAATATTTAGGTGTGAACTGTACTGATATTTACATCTGCAGATAACTTGAAACAAAGCAAAAAAAATAGAAGCAAATATAGCAAAATATTACTGATAATTTATATGGTAGTTATACAAATTTTTGTTGTATATCTTTTCTACTTTAAAATGTTTAAACATTTTATATAAAAAGAAAGAAACTCATAATTATTGCAGCCATCAGACAAATGTAATTAATCTAAATTTCCTTAAGAGAGAGTAAATATGTACTTAAGAAAATGACATGTATTTTTTTAGTGCATCAACAAAGATGTTCAAAGAAGCATAGAAACACATTAAAACTTAGTGTAGAAATTATAATCCCATAGCAATAAAGCTCTGTTTAATATGAAAATCATAATTCAGAGCCTATATGTGCCAGATGTCATAGCATCAGACCACATGAAGGAAATGTGCTAAAAAATAAGTTTACAAAATATTAAATTTAATTTCTAGACATGATAGATAATAGTTAGTATATAATAGGTAAGTTTTATAAACTATGCAGCATCCACACCATAAAATTCCTAACATGAAATTTTAAGACTCCTTGTTTGAGATATCAAAATTGAAAATATACTAGGCATATATGTTTGAGCACAAAGAAAATCATATTAAACAATGCTCCCACCCAAAAAAAAAAATAAGTTATGTGATGACAATTTCACTCATTCCTTAAGATTTAAATAATCAGAGCTTCAAAATTGATCTAAAATATTCAGGTTTATGTTCTCACAGTCACTTCTGCTTTTCTTCTTCTTCCCAAATTTTTACTCTATACTCTTCATCTTTGTGGCCATACCGTTATCTCTGCCCTGCCATAGGTCACTGCCTGTTGTCTTTGATGATCGCATAAAACAGGATTGTGCTTGTAGCATTGCTTCTAACATGGGGGACCACACCGGATCCCACATAGTGAACAACTTGAACTTGCTCATCAGTCATTTCAGTTGCCATCTATCGAGCACCTCTCACTGGCTGCCCCACCTCACAGGATTCTTCAACTTGCTGAGGACTCTTCCCACCCCACCGTTTCCCCTTTCTGTGTCTTCTCCCTTAACCCTCTCCTTTGCTGATCCCCAAATGAATTTATCCCATTTTCTCACACGACGTCGTTTAGTCACCTCTTCGTCTGCCTTCCTTTCATTCAGGTCACTGTTCCATGCACTTCCTCTGAAAGGTTTTCTGTGGCCATTCTTCACAGACTTGATGATGGTCTCCGTTGTTACTGCTTAACTTCCTTCTCCCTATTGGAATGTAAGCTCCTTAAAATTAGGCGGTTTTGTCTATTTCCTCACTGCCGAATCCCCCGGGATTTACACCCGTGTCTGACCCACAGCGGAGCCTCCAGTGTTGACTAATTAACTGTGGGCCTGTGTTGACAATGCTGCTATCAGGGTATCGCCTCAGGAGCTTTTCAGAGAACTTTCCTAGAGAAAGATCACGTCTCTCCAGGAAAAGTTATGGTGGCAGCTGTTAGGATAAGAAAATATTTGCCTTTGTCAGAAACAAAATCAATGCCCATTAAAAGAATATAATAACCAAGTAAGATTTAGCCCAGAAATTTAATAATTTGTTGATAAGAAAATCGATGAATATAATATACCACTTGAATAGCCTGAATAAAAGAAATCATATGATGGTTTTAGTATATTGAAAGTTCCATAAAACTCAATATTTACTCATAATAAAAACCTTTAAAAATTTTAAAAAACAGTACTAGGAAGTATTTCCTTAAAACTTCTGCTCTTGTCCCTAATTCATTCATACAGCCGCCAAAGCCATCTTTTCAAATTTCAAATCTGATCATGTCCTGTCCATCTTTATAAACTTTTACAGACTTCCATGTGGAAGATGAAAGGGGCATAATTGGGTCTGTTCCCATGGACAGCCAGCTACTTGGCCATTTACTTGGTGAAGTCTTTAGTTCCAAACCAGTAACTGCCATTCCAGACCCTCACCAGGGATCCTGTCGCCTGACCACCGCCATCAGTGGGCTTCACTCGGCCTCGAGAGGCCAGAGCACATGTCTCCATCTGAACTTGGTACCGGGATGCCACGTGGAACCTTGACTTCACTAGGTCTGCCAGGCTTCCCAGCTTTATTATATTGGCCACCACACAGAAATGTATGCCTCTCTGGTCATCTGTCTTCTTACATACTCTTGACTCCATATTGCTTGTCCTCTCCCTCTCCCAGCTGCCTTACAGCTTGGCAAGTAGAGGCCCCCAGATCCTCAGCCTTTCTTCAGACTACTTTCTTCATTTCCTTGCTTTATCAGGAACGTGGTTGTCCCACAGGCAGCCCTCTAGTAGAGAACCCTCCCTCCAACCTCCCAGTGTACCAGAGTGCTCAAAGGTGGAGCTGGCATTATTTCCATTCCCCAACTCACTTTCCACCCCAGCACAAAGTACCTACTTTTACGTTCAGACCAGCTCATTGCTTTTCTAGTTCTATCCATTTCTTGGCCATTGGTCATTCCCTAACATGAATCTGAAGACTGGCTCTGGGATTAGTTTTCCTCCCTGTATGGTCCCATCATTTTATCTGACACCTAAACTAAGAACTGAGCAGCAAGAAGAAGCAACCATGTAACGCTACCAATGGGAGGGTTTACCACCACTTCACTTGGCTACCATTAAGTCCTTGCTATCCAGGTGGAGGGAAAATGGTAGATACCTACCTCATACACTCACAAAAATAAATCCATATAACCTGGGGCTCACGAAAAGTAAAACACCTTTATTTTCTCATCTACTGTGGTACATAGCCAGCAACAGCACTTTGAGAAAGCAGTGAGGGATATTGCAATATATAAACACGTATTTGATCGTCAAGTATTATTTTCTTGGCAGTGTTTCAAGGCTTGTGTCTGATGGATGTTAGGAGGGTGAAAGCTGCGTTGCTGGTGGGCAGGCTGTCTCCTGCGCACTCTGTGACTATGTGGATGTCTTACGAACATTAGCATATTGGAGGTACATTATCACTGGCACACTTAGGGAACAGTGCGCTCGAAGGGAGAAGACAGCATCTGTTTGGGCCTCACGTATCCTGTGAGAATTACAAATGTGAAAGAAATCACAGCTGTTTTTGCACTTTGATCAATTCCAAGAACTGTGCTGATTCAGAATAAGGCCTAGAAGCTGGGAGGGAGGAGAGAAAAATGGAAACCATATTGAAATGTAATGCAAGTCTGGAAGCTGTGAAGTGAGGGAACTGCCTTATATCCCAGAGCTCCCGGGATGCCTTTCCAGGCGATGGCCTTTACTTCTTTCCTTATTTCTAGCCCTGCACACCCCAGGACAACACACCGCGTGGGAACAGAGTCAGGAATTATATCATATCAGAGGGTGAATGCTTTACAACATTATTGGGAGAAAGAATTTAGTTTGGGTAAAACTAAAAACTGGGTTTTTTTGTTTGTTCTTTTCCTTTGTGGAAGGAAAAAGGAGTGGAATATATGAAGAAAATAGTTGATTCTCCATGTCCCAAAGCAAGACACTTACAATTTGCAGCTGCTTACAACCTTGGAAGAGCTTATTACGAAGGCAAAGGCATTCACCGATCAATTGAGGACGCTGAGAGGTACTTACCTGAGAATGAGTGTTTGTCTTAATCATATGCTGAAACAAATAACCATTTGCCTTGTCTTTCCCTTCCAGACTTTGGCTCTTTGCTGCGGACAATGGGAATCCAAAAGCCAGTGTGAAGGCTCAAAGTATCCTAGGGTTGTATTATTCAACGAAGGAACCCAAAGAGCTAGAAAAGGTAACGCTGATCTGTTTAAATGTTAGTTAGAATTCTATTTAGACTGTCTCACTATTTCTCTTTTAAAAGGAGGGTGATAAGGAATACGGTTTTGAATCTCTCTGACATTTCTTTAAAATGTAAAGAATGTAAATTTTAAGATCTCAAAGCTCATTCCATCCTTCACTCATATGTGAATGCTACCTTCCTGCCTCTCCCAAAGGGGACCCCGGCTGTGAGAGAATTGGTATGCTATAAAAGCTACACAGACAAACTGTTACTCCATGAGAGCTTCGAGAGAGTCCTGAAATAAAGCCCAAATCCTTTTTAGTGTGAATAAATGATGACATTTGATTTGAGGAACAATGATACTAGTAAGTAAAATATACTAAGAACTAATTGAAAATTAAATCCATTTAAGATTTTTATGGAATTATAATTTCTCTCATCACCATGACTGAAATATTTTCCAAAAAACCTCATAGGGAAAGGAAATGTAGGGCTGAGTCCTACTTCTAAGAGGCACAAAACAATCTAAGACCCTCCTTGGACAACTGAGTAGCCAATTAGTTTTTGAACTAATTCACATCCACGTAGCCGACTATTGATCAGATGTTTCTGGCCCCCATGCAGCCTTTACCCTTGGTTGCCTTTGACCTTGAAAGCCCCATCTCGGCGATCCACCTGAGCTCTGACTTCCTGAGCGTCAACAGCTGTCCCTCCCCGCTGTGCCTAGTAGCAGGTTTGTCTCGAAGCCCTGCAGACACCATTCCAGTTTCCCACCTTCTGGATCCTTCCGGTGGAAAATCGGAAAATCCTGAAACCCGAGACAGCCGAATTCACCTGCACTGTCGTCAGGCGGGCTCACCTTACACACACTCTCTCTCTAAGGCGTGAAATTGATGCTAGCCTGAAATACCTTCAAGGGGCTAGAACTATTTCCTAGAGATGAATTAACAGTACTATCTTATCATTAGAGACTTTTTTCTTTCTGGTATTCCCTTGTAATTTCACCTTGTGAGTAACAAGACGAAACTGCTTTTGTAAAGGCATTTTATTGGCATTCAGAAGCATGCGGCAATGGGAACCTGGAGTCCCAGGGTGCCCTGGGGCTCATGTACTTGTACGGACATGGCATCCACCAGGACACGGAGGCTGCCCTGTACTGCTTGCGGGAAGCCGCGGAGCGTGGAAATGTCTACGCCCAAGGGAACCTCGTGGAGTATTACTACAACATGAAGTTCTTTACGAAGTGCGTCGCCTTTTCCAAAAGGTAAACAAGCTGGGTGAAGGTGTTCGCAGAAACACCGGCTGTACGTTCTGTGCCAGGTGTGTCCGTAGGACTTGCTGCAATATTGTAAATGACGGCGATTGAGGGCTGGAAATGTGGCTAGTGCAACTGAGGACTGAACTTGTACATTTCACTGGATTTTAATTAAGTAGTCCCATATCGGATAGTACAATTCTGTGCCATTGGTTTTCAGGATTTCAGTGGTATTCGCTCTGTACACCAGCTGAGTGAGCTTCAGCAAGTTTCTTAACTTTTGGGGGGCATCAATTGCTTTATTTATAAGAAAAACATACTTCTGCAGGATTGTAAAAAGATTGCATATAAAGTACTTAACATGGCTTGGCACAGTAGAAATGTATATTAAATATTCATTTCTTCCTGCATCCTTAGCCACAGGTTCTCTAAATACGTAATTGCAATATAGCTTGATTAGGGCTGTAAAATAAGGATAATGGTTAAAAGACTCCCAACACATACATCTGATAAAATATTTGGAAATTCCCATAAAACGTGGAACTGTCTTTTCTGTGAGCCCATGTATTTTCCTACATTTACTTACCCAGCATGTACAAAAGCAACACACCAGGAAAAACAGCTGTGGCTGTCCCCTGGAGTGGCACAGGCCCATGTTGATGCATTTCCCTCCAATAATGCCCCTATGGAGCCCACGGCTCCTTCCCTCCCAGCCCCCCGGGAGGCAGCCACGACAATGGGGGATGAATCTGCTGCTTTTACCCTCACCTCCCAACATCTTGGCTTCCAGACAGCAGGTGTGATCACCAATGTCCCAAATCCCCAAGTGCCCATTTGATTAAAATGAAGATTTTACAAAGTTCTTAAAATCTTTGAAACTTCACATTATTGTCCACATTCCTATTCTCCATACCATTAGGGTTAACGTGATTAGATCTCATTTTCACACAATTCTCCATATCTGTGTCTGGGTTACACAGAATGAATTTTTTTTAAATAGCAGCACAAGCAGGTGGTCCCCTTATATTTTTTAAATATCTTTTTATTGATTTCATAGAGGGAGAGATAGAAACATCAATGATGAGAGAATCATTGATCAGCTGCCTCCTGCACGCCCCCTACTGGGGATTAAACCCAAATCTTGGGCATGTGTCCATGACCAAAATCGAACCCAGACCCTTTAGTCCACAGATTGGCGCTCTATCCACTGAGCCAAACTGGCTAGGGCTATATTTTGTTGTTGTTAATCCTCACCCAAGGATACTTTCCCATTGATTTTTAGGGAGAGTGGGAGGGAGAGAGACAGAAACAGCCACGTGAGAGACACATTGATTGGTTGTCTTCCGTACCCCCCCCCACCCCGCACCCCTGACCAGGGCCAGGGATTGAGCCTGCAACCCAGGCATGTGTCCTTGACTGGAATCGAACCTGGGACTCTCAGTCCGCAGGCCATCGCTCTATCCACTGAGCCAAACCAGCTAGGGCCAGAATGAATTATTTTTATTGACCATTTTTAACCAAAGATAGATGTGCAAGTTTTTTTTAATGTGCTTTCTGGTCTTATGTGAGTAAAGTCCAAATTTAAGGTCCATGTTTAAATACATGATCCAAAGAAATAGAAAGTACTCTTTTTTCCCCATTGTTGAAATTTACAGTGATGTTAAGTTTAAAATATTAATATTATAAGGAAACAACCTTTCTTTTCTGTTCTAGTCATTTTCTAGGTTATTGAGCCCAAGGAGAATAATCACAGGGAAGCTGTAAAGCAATCACTCTTCCCGGTATTAACTATGTTGTTTCCCTTTCACTGCACAACAACTTTGTTAAATAGGTAGAAATGGGGAAATCATTTTAGACACAAGGACAATTTGTGGACATGTTGCTTGTGAAAATGTAAACCATAACTGACATCCTTTTTATTTCACAATTTACGTCCTAACAGGGTTGCCGACTACGATGAGGAGCAAGACATCCCGACGATAGCCCAGGTCACGGACTGTCTCCCGGAGTTCATCAGCAGAGGCATGGCCATGGCCTCCTTCTACCATGCCCGGTGCCTACAGCTTGGCTTGGGGACCACAAAGGATGAAGCAACCGCTAAACAATATTATTCTAAAGTAAGTGAGCCCAAGAACAAGCATAAATGACTCCGAGGCTGCTTTTATGGATTAGTGTTCTTTCCTCCTTAGTTATTGTAGAGATCATCTGTCTATGGAGAGGCTGTCAGACATGCAGCCAAGCATGTCAAACTCACGGTTGGCGGGCCACATGCCTTAAGTAAATGAGGCATATAGCCCGCCGGCCACGAGTTTGACATGCTGTTAGATGATCCTGTCAGATTCTTAGCATGATTAGAAGTCCTGTATTACTCTCTCTCACTCTGATGCTTTCAGGCCAGCACTAAGACCTCAAAGCCAGAATATTCATGCCTTCTTTCACCCAGAAAAAAGTGTGAGCCTGTATCCTCGTTCTAGTACCTTAATGAAATGTAGTTTTTCAAGAAAGTTTTGTATACATGACATCTTCCACACTGAGGTGAGGAGGAATATTCATGCGTTTGCAGCAATCAGTTAAAATAAGCCTTTTCATGTTTCAATCCATGTGATTTAGTCAAATTCCAACGGATTTCAGGTCTGAAAATCTAACAACTGTTAAAAGAGGGTAACTATATTTTTTCATATAAAGAAAAGACAGCCCTGGCTGGTGAGGCTCATTTGGTTCGAGCATCATCCTGTACACCAAAAGATTTTGCATTCGATTCCCAGTCAAGACACATACCTAGGCTGTGGGCTCAGGGGTGCATACAGGAGGTAACCGATGGATGTTCACTTGTGTTTTGAAATCACTCACTAGGGATCTTTCAAAAATTCCAAAGCCCAGGCCTCATTTCAGAGCAACTCAATCTCAGTCCCCGGAAGTGGGGCCCTGTATGTACTGAAGCGCCTCAGGATGCCAGTGTTTTGGGAGTCCTGGCAGGCATGTTTGCGAACCCTAAATTATGTAGAAATACAATACACAAATACAACCAACCTTTGAGATATTTATCACTACATCATTCTGTTAGTATGAATAATAGTTGTCTTTACTTTTCAAAAATCTGAATCTTCGATGTATTATACCGATTTCCAAACCAAGTCAATTTCAGATTGCATGCTGTCCTTAGTATCTTTTCTAAATAAATATAAGCTGAGACAACGCTGGGTCCAAACAACTTGCAACCCTCAAACGATTTTCCACATGGTGGGAGATAATGTCCCTGTTACTCAATTGTGGCCAACTTGTCTGTGTTTTGAAATCACTAGGGATCTTTCAAAAATTCCAAAGCCCAGGCCTCATTTCAGAGCAACTCAATCTCAGTCCCCGGAAGTGGGGCCCTGTATGTACTGAAGCGCCTCAGGATGCCAGTGTTTTGGGAGTCCTGGCAGGCATGTTTGCGAACCCTAAATTATGTAGAAATACAATACACAAATACAACCAACCTTTGAGATATTTATCACTACATCATTCTGTTAGTATGAATAATAGTTGTCTTTACTTTTCAAAAATCTGAATGTTCGATGTATTATACCTATTTCCAAACCAAGTCAATTTCAGATTGCATGCTGTCCTTAGTATCTTTTCTAAATAAATATAAGCTGAGACAACGCTGGGTCCAAACAGCTTGCAACCCTCAAACGATGTTCCACGTGGTGGGAGATAATGTCCCTGTTACTCAGTTGTGGCCGTTGTATTTTATGGGAGATACTTGAACATGGAGAAAGTGCAGGTGTAGGAAGCCAGAGAGGGTCGGGAATCCTGTCATATAAAGCATGACCAGAGAGACTGAGTGTTTCATTCAGAGGAAAGGACCGAGGGGTCCTGAGCGTGGTCCTCCTGACTGAAAGGCTGTCCTGTAGAAAAGGAACGGGGGCGGGGGGCAGAGTTCTAGCCACTGCAGTGCACTGAGGGAAAAGCTGAGGCCACAGACGGTGCAGGGACAGGGGCTACAGTCAGGAGACCCAGGCCTGCCACCTCCTTCACCTCAGGGCTTCTGTGAAACCAGCACTGTACGTTCTCCTGAGACCTTCAACAAC